TCCCAGACAGGAGTCCCAGCCTCGCGAGCCCTCAGCAGAGCTGCCCAGGAGGCGTGTCAGACACCAGGGTATTTGCCAGGGCTGGGCCATGGACATAGTCACTACTGGCTCAGGCCTGCTCACCAGTTCCCATCTGCTTCTGCGTGGGGTTTCCTAAATCCCAGATTGCCAAGCCCACCAGGATCTCGTGGGGGCTTCTCCTGTTGCTAGTGTGTTCCAAGGTGGACTGAACTGGCTTTATAGCTGAGTGGGTTTATAGGGTAATGGCTTTGGGGTCAGTCATGGGACAAGCTTGGTAGTCAGTGCTTACTCAGCTCTGGGTCTCCTATCTGTGCAGTGAGTTGTTGTTGTTGTTATGTGCCGTCGAGTCGGACCCGACTCATAGCGATCCCTCCTTGGGTTTCTGAGGCAGTATCACTATGGAAGTAGACTGCCCCACCTTGTGACTTGGAGGTAATTTGCAGCCCTAGTGGGGCGCCCTTGGTTCTGCTCCTGTTTGATACAGTGAAACCTGGGGCAGCCACAACTTGGCGGGACGGCCTTGTTTTTTCCAAGTTTTCCGCCTTTGACGGTGCAGTTTCACCACTTTTCTGTCACTCCTTTCAGTGGGAAATGTTTGCGTTTTCCTTCTGTGACAAGTTTTGACTTTTGCAGGTTTTTCTGTATAGGCTTAGGGTACTCAGACTTTTTGTATTATCATTTCAAGGCTCTTGACTAGGCAGGTAAACTTTTTAAAGCCTAACCACTACAAAGCCCATTAGAAATCATTTTTCAAAGCTCCTTTATGTACTGTTGTCCACCAGCTTGAGTTCTGAATAGGAGGCTGTATCTGAGGCCTCAGGTACTGCGTGTGGAGAGTCTACAGAACGCCCCCAGCTTGGTCCTCGAGGGGTGGGTTCCTGTCCAGCACTAACAGACCAGGCTTTTCCCTTGAAGCTCCTAACTCTCTTCTCAGGGGACCCGTCTTCTAGCTACATGGATGATATCAAGCAGCAAATGGCTAAAGCACCCACCTACCCTCTGCCCGCCAGCAGACCTCTTAACAATACGACTGCTGCCTGTGACCGACTGTCAAAGTCTACACCAGGCCCCAGGCCTGGCTGCCAGCCCAGTCCTCCACGTGTACTGAAGCTCAACAACTCGGACACCCAGGACATCCGGGGACGGGGCCAAAACAGCCATAATGGGGCCATGGCCCCTGGGCACGTTTCAGTCATTCACCCTGTTCGAAACCTCTACCCAGAAGCCCTCGTGCCCTCCTTCCCCCGTGGGCCTGCAGGGAGATACGGAGTGAGGTAAGAACCAGCAGCAGCCTGGGAGTGGAGTTTGGGAGCAATGAGGAGATGTGGGCAAAAGGCCCCATCACCCGGCTCTGCCGGGGGAGACTGAGGTCTGGGGAGGACTGGGTTGCCCTGTAGCAGCTTGGGCTCCAGCACCAGTGGTTTCCACTTCCTCGACTTTCCTACTGGTGCTCAGGTCACCTCAAGAATGACTGCCCTGTCTTTCAGCGGTAGGAGTGACGGTGGCAGGAGCTCCCGGGCCACACCCCCAGCCACTAGCTACCGCAACAGAGCTGCAAAGGTAAGCGGGGATCCAGCCCATGATGCTGAGTGAGGACCTGTGGCCCAGAAGTGGGGGCTGGTGGGGCTCTTGAAGTCAGAGAAGTTGCTGGGTCTCAGGCTGGTTCAGGCTGAAGGGTCCTGGACTGGTCTCTTGGCTTTTGAGGAGGAGGTTTCTGTAGAAGCGTGGCGTTTTCAGGGCTCCAGTGGAGGGGTGAAGAAGCCCTGTGGGCCCCGTGGTTAAGCACCCGGCTGCTAATGGAAGGGTTGGCGGTTTGAACCTGCCAGCTGTTCTGGGAGAGAAAGATGAGGCAGTCTGCGTCTGTGAAGGTTACCGCCTGGGAAACCCTCCGGGGCAGTTCTCTGTGCTAGAGGGGCACTGCGAGTCAGAATTGACTCCACGGCAGAGGGTTGTTGGTTGGGGGGGTACTGCTCTTGCACATTCTACTGAAGACTTGGTTGGTGTTCTGTTGTTCTACAGGCAAAAAGCCCCAAACAGCAGGGAGCTGGGGACGTGGAGGAAGAAGAGGAGTAACGGTCCCTACGAAGTTTCCCGCGACTCCTGTCTTCTGTGCACAGCAGCACTTGCCGCAGTGCAGGCCCCGCTTCTCTGGCTCTTTGGGGAAAGACTTTACAATTTTAACTTTTCTAGGTTGTGGCCATTCGGTGTCTTTGAGATGATCGTGCTGTGGGAGTTTGGGGGTTTGAGGGAGGGTTAGCAGGGAGGCTGTTGAGAATGTTTCTGCTTTAGCTGCTACCTTCGGGCAGTAGTTACGTCCTCTTGGCCCACCAGGGCTCCACCTTTCGGCATTCTGTCACCACTGCCTCTTGGTGCTATGTGGTCCTGGTGGGAGGTGTCAAGGACTTTGGAAGCTGGGACCCACCAGCCGGGGGAGTCTCTGCAACGCGGGGACTGTGGGGTAACTTCCTGCCTATACTGCCCCACCCCACCTGTCCCACTTCTAGAATCTAGGCCTCTGGGATGTGGGGAGGAGCTCTGGCAAAGTGTTGGAATATGTAAGTTAGAGATCAGTCTTCTGGAGACAGTTGAACTAGAGGTGAGTGGACCTGAGGCTTAGTTTTAAGCTGCTTCCTTGGCATTTGGCATCACTGCCTTAGGTTCCTGGTGGGAGCACGGCTCCTTCGTCTTCACTGCCCTAGTGGAGAAGGCAGGGGTTCCTTGTTCCCATCAGGGCCGCACTGGGTTCTGCCCTGGGCAGGATTGAGGCCTCAGCCTCATGGCTTGCCCGGAAAACCAAGTGTCAGAGCCCCACCCCCTTTTTTAAATTTTACTATTGATTTCCTTGCAATAGAAATAAAGTTTGTACTTGGAGTTCAGCTGAGTCTCGTGATTCCTTCTCATTGCTCTGTGCAGACTTCAGGGAGGCCAGAGTGGGTGGGATCGGCCCTGGATGCTCGGCAGTGAGGACCGGGCTCGCGGGGTTTCCTGTAACCAGCAGATCAGCAGGAGTTGCTCCTCTGAGGCCACCAGACATTGAAGGGGAAACTTCTCTCCAGCTGGACTTCTGAGGAGACTGACGGGTTTGCAGCAGTTTTGATGGTGGTGTGGGAGGGAAGGCCTACTGAAGAGAAAAGCAAATTCTTCAGAAGCCGCGACTTCTCAGTTACCCCTCAGCACCTCACAGCTTACACAGGACCATCTAGCACCTGAAGTCATTTGGCATTTCCCAACAGCCTGGTGGGGGATGTGGAAAACCTAACCCACTGATTCCAAGTCCTAGCGACTCTACAGGACAGAGGACTACCCCACAGGGCTTCCAAGGCTGTAAATCTTTAGAGAAGCACAATGCCTCACCTCCCATGGAGTGGCTGGTGGATTTGAACTGCCACCTTCTGGTTAGCAGTGGGAATGCCTTAACCACTGCGCCACCAGAAGGCAGGAAGAACTCTTTAAAGATGGTACGTGACCCACGGAACCACAGTGACTTGCATGAGGTTGTGCAAGTCATTCATGGCAGAGCCCACCCTCAAATCCAGCTCTGAAAATAATTCACTGAGGGAAAGAAGTTGTTACGTGCCGTTGAGTCAGACCCGACTCATAGCGACCCCTCCTTGGGTTTTCGAGGCTCTGTCACTACGGAAGTAGATTGCCCAACCTTCCTTCCGAGGAGTGGCTGGCAGAAGTACCACCCCCTAAAAAAACACACATCGTGTGAATACACTTTATTATGTGTCAATTATACTTCAATAAAACAGTATCGCCAGAGTTAATGAGCTCAGACAGACCCTCGGGCCTCAGATGGAAGGAGCCAGAAGGAGCAAAAGCACCGTTGGAGGCCCAGGGGTCTTGAGAGGTGGAAGGCAGGCCTCTCCCTGGTGGGCAGAGAACAGGTCTGGTGTCTCATAATTGTTTTTTGGGTAAAAGTAAAACCTTCGTTTACCCCTCTTTTGATTGGCGTAGACACTGATACCTTGTGATTTTTGACTTGCGTTTCCCTGGTGACTAATGATGAGCGTCTTTTCACATGCTTATCAGCCATGGTGTATCTTTCTTGGACAGAGAGCTATTTGGATCCTTCGCCCATTTTCTGTTTGGGTTACTGGTTTTTTGATTATTGAGTTGTTAGAGTTTGCTTATTCTAAACACAAGTCCTTTTATCAAATACATGATTTGCAAGTATTTTCTCCTGTGAGTCGTTTTGCACTTCCTTGATGGTGTCCTTTAAAGAACACCACAATGTGTTCATTTTGATGATGTCCAGTTTATCTTTTGTCACTTGTGCTTTTGGTGTCATATCTAAGAATGCATCACCAAAGCTAAGGTCATGAACATTTACCTGTGTTTTCTCTAAAAGTTAACACAGTTTTAGCTCTTACATTTTGGTCTTTGATCCATTGTGAGTTACAGTTTTCTGCCTGATGTGCGGAGTAAGGGTGCAGCATCATTTTTTGCATGCGGAAATCCAGGTGTCCCAGCACCATTTCTTGAAGACTTCGTTTCCCCACTGACTGTGTAGTTTTGGCACCCTTGTTGAAAATCGATTGGCCACAAATATATGGATTCATTTCTTGACTGTCATTACTATTGCATCGTTCTGTGTCTGTCTTTATGCCAGTACCACACTGTCTTGATTACTGTTGCTTTGAAGTGAATTCTGAAACCAGGCAGCGTGAGTTCTCCACCTTTGTTGTTCTTTTCCAAGAGTGGCTATGCTGGGTGCACTGCAGTTCTATATGGATTCAAGGGTAGACTTTTCCATTTCTACAAAGAAGTCAGCTGGGATTCTGACAGGATCGTGTTGGATCTCAGTCTGGGGAGTATTGCTATCTTAATAACGTTAATTCTTCCAATCCATGAACATGGGCTGTTTTTCCATTTGTTTAGATCTTTAGTTTCTTACAAAAATATTTTGTAGTTTTAGGGATATAAATTTTGCACTTTTTTGTTAAATTTATTCCTGTTTTATTCTTTTTGATGCTATTGTGAATGGAACTGTTAACTACATTTTTAGATGGTGTTTTGGTCATCTCTAGTGCTGCTTTAACAGAAAATACCACAGGTGGGTGGCTTTAACAAACAAGAGTTGATTCTCTTATAGTTTTGGAGGCTAGAAGTCTGAGTTCAAAGTGCCAGGTCTAGAAGCTGGGTGAAAGCCCTTCTTCCTTAGGCTTCAGCTCTGCCTCTTGCTCCTGGCCCACTGAAGCTAGAGGCGTTTCTTTCCTCAGGCAGCTGCTGACTGCTAAGGTGGGCAAACCCAAGGTCAACAAGTAAAATAGCACAGTCCCCAAATTATCAAACCACACAGCAGGCCACCCATTCAAGTCCAGAGACAATCCCAAGACTGGCAGGAAACATGGCAGGCTGCTAGATGAAGCCTTGGGCTACATGCAGGGTTCAAGCATACCACAAAGATGCAGAGTTCAAGCTCAACTGGCATGACACACTACACAAAAACACTGCTCCACATCCTACTTTGATGAGTGGCAACTCGAATCTTAAAAGCTTGCAAGCAGCCATTTGGATGCAATGATGAATCACTCCTCGTCCAGAGCAAAGAATAATGAAGAAGACCAAAGATGTATGGAAACGATTAGTCCAAGGGACTGGTAGACCATGCATGCGATCCTCAGCCTACACGACCATGAGACCAGAAGAACTAGATGGTGCCCGGCTACCACTGTCGATCATTTGGAGGGGGATCTATGTAGGACATCCTGGATAGATGGGAGAACAGTGTGGAACAAAACTCAAAATTATTTTTAGAAGACCAGGTTTGCTGGTCTGCTAGTGACTGGTGAAACCTGAGACTATGGCCCCTGGCTGCCCTTCAGGTCTGGAATTGAACTCACTTCCTGTGGCTTCCAGCCAAATAAAAGACTGGCATATGGGCTGAACATTTACATCAGGTAGATACACTCCTTGGAGGAATCAATTGTGGGAAAACAGAAGGGCTGTTATGCACAGGGAGACTGCTCAGGACAGGAGTGCATGAGAGGGAAGGACACAGGGAAGAGGTAATTATGGGGAGGAAGTGAGAAGAGAGCTGTTACATTGTGAGAAATTGCAGTCTATGTCATGAGACAAAATGTGTATGAACTGCTGTATGGAAAATGAGTTTGTTCTGTTAACTTTCACCCAAATCACAATAAAAATGTGGGTGTATGTGGGGGAAGATGCAGAAACCTTTCTCGAAGCCGCTCCTTAGATACAGGAAGCAGACCACATCCTTAAGGCAGCTACTCAGCTGCTCCAGGAGATCCCACCATAGAACTGATGACCAGTCTCATCAGGGGGAATAACACCACCCAGCTGCCCAGCCACTCAAAACCAGGCCCCGCCAAACTGACACATAACCTTAACTACCACAGACGGTCTACTGAAATACAGTTGGTTTCTGAACATGGGTCTTGTTATCTTTCAACTCTGTTTGATTTTTAGTTCTAACAGTTCAGTAGATTCTTTAGGAATTTTCTACATATAAGGTCTAATTGCTTCTTCCATGAATTTCCAATCCCCGATTTCCCCTGGTAGATGAAGCCCTCCAATTCCTTTCCTTTATATCTTTATATTTTTGGGAGGAGGGGAAGTAAGTTCTTCCCATAACGATATGCTCTCGCAAAGGCATCCAGCAGTCCTTCATCAGTGGTCCTCTCTCAGAGGCTGGACTGAGATATAGAGTCCTCCTAGTTTCATGAAGATGGAGTATGTGCTTTATTTCTTGATTTCCTTGGTTTGGTGTACTTTTATTTTTAAGAACCCATCTATACAGTCTGTTGTCCCTACAGAAAGGTGCCGGTAAGTGTACAGAGCTCAAGGTGGCACCACCACCCAGTCAAGGAACAGGACATTACCAAGACAGCCGATACCCATTATGCTCCCTCCTAGTCAACCCCTCTTCTGAGCCTGGGCCAAAGGCAACCACTGTGGTAGCATAGTGCCTAAGGCACTTGAGTGCTAACCAGAAGGCTGGCGGTTCAAACCCACCAGCTACTCCTCAGAAGGAAGATGGGGCAATCTACTTCCGTGGTGATACTGCCTCAGAAACCCAAGGAGGGGTTGCTATGAGTCAGGTC